GGGTAATAGGAACACCTCTGGGAAGAACAAAGATGGCCACTATCCAGGAGGGTGACCCTCCAATATGTGGGCCTGCTGCAGAAGTATTTAAACACATTGTGTATGGCATGTTATATGGGGGTGGGTTCACCCAAGAAGGGCTTAACACACAGTGGGATGGCTTTAGAGGGGGCAGAGAAGGTCCCATTAAGAGGTAATAAGTGTGTGTTGCCATCCTTTGGGTAGATGGTTCTCAAGGAGCCCTTTTTAAAAGAGGATGGAGGCAAAAACCATTCACCATCTGCAGAGCCTTAAGGAAGAGAGCTTAGAGCAGAAGCTCTAAGCAGATCCATGTTAGATGCCACATGTCAGCTCAGGCTGATGCTGGGGTACAGGGGGATAGACGATCTGAGAGTGCTAGCCCTCACCACAGCTCTGAAGGACAGAATGCATTAAGAATGCTTTGGGCTGCAGATAACCGACACTCTTGGGTCACAGGAAATTGTACATGAACCGTGCTTATTGCTCAACAGTGCTGGCCAGGTAGCCAACTAGACAGCTTAGTCTAGAGGCGAGCATTCCTTTCTTTTTGCTATTGGCTTTTACCTCAGGCTTGTTGCTTCATGACTGCAAGCCTGTAGCCATTGCTGTTGCCATCACAGCCTCTCACGGCTGTGCCTGAGGAAGCACTCTAAGTCTCGACCTCTCTGTTTTTAGAATGAATGATTTTTCGGAGAATCACTACCAGATAGCCATTACCATTACCATACCTCTTAGCTAAAAATGACTCAGGACCACCTAGGTCCTGACAGAGGAAGCAAAGAGCTTTGGAGCTGCCAGAGGGAAGATGCTGACTTCTGGGAAACTCCCCTTGTTCTCTGGACAGACTCTGGACTCAACACAAGACATGACTGGGCATGGCCTCTGGCTGGACCACCAGTAGCACTCGCCCTAGGCAGTTGGCATGATTCCCATTTTGCTTATGGAAAACATGAAGATAGAGAAGTGATGAGCGTGAGACTGGTGACAGAAAAATAGGAGTGACATTAATGGAGGGACTATATAGCAACCTGAGCACCATCTCCACGGCGACAAGGGCCAAGTCTGGTGACTCCAAGAATGATTTGTTTCTGATCTAGTAAATGCATCATGGCAGTGGTGTTCTTTCTGCTTGGGAAGAACACCCTCATTTTCCCACATAAACGAATTCTCTTCATGTCAAACACTGGCTGCATTTCCAGTGTGTGATGGAGGCAGATAAGCTTGTGGTTGGTAGAATTTTATTATATTTCTGTGATCAAAATTCCATTCTGTTCTGATGTGAAGGATTTGTTGGGGGAGGGTGCCAACAAAGTAGATGGGGGATACCCAATTTTTATCTCTGGGATTCAGGGAGGCTGCCTCAGGTACCCATTGCTGTCCTAGTTTCCTGGGCTTGGGTGCCTAGTCTCACCAGCACATCTCTTCCCTGCCTGTGGAATCTTCAAATCCTTGTGTCCAGGAGCTGCAAGGGCCTGCCTGGTGGGGCTAGGTCTGAATGCAGGTGCCCAGCTGTAGGGTGAGGCCTCTGCTGTGCCTATGCCCTGAGGGCACAGCTGGGCCCGTTCTGTCCTGCCAAAGAGCAGTCTTGATGCTGAAGCTATCTGCTGGCCCCAGTCATCCTCACCCTTACCTCTGTCTGAAGCCCACTTCTGTATTTCGTCCTATCTCACGGAGGTCTCCAGAAGTTGACGTGGCTTCTCACATCCCACTCTAAACACTGGCCTGAGTCTGTCACCCACTCTAGCCTCTTATGCTAGAATAGCCCAACCACACTCCAGCCACACAGAGTCCTTGTATAACCCAATGGCTAGGCTGTGCTGTGGAATTGTCACTTTGCTCCCTCCCTGCAATTCACAGGGCTCTTGGGTGTGTTTCCCAGGGCCTTGCTCCCAAGCTTCGATACCACCAAACCCAGAGTCTGTGAGAAGAGGATTGCTCATAAGAGGGTGCCAGGGCAATAGGATACTGCTGAGTCTAAGGACATGTACAGTTTCTTTTTATCCTAGTCCGTCATGGAACCTACAAGCTCTGCATGGCAGATGGACTTTGCAGAGGTGACTCAGTGAAGGGTCTTGAGATAGGGAATTGTCCTGGGTTATCTGGGCAGCCCAGTGTCACCAATGTCCTCAGAAGAGGCATAGGAGGGTGTGGATCAGAGGCAGTGAAAATGGTGCTGGAAGTAAGGCGGCCATGGGAAGGTTCTAATCTCTGAGCCAAGTGAGGCCCCTAGGTGCTGGCACAGAGCCTCTGCTAGGAAGGCAGTCTTCCTGCCTGAGAGCTTTTGTCCTGAGCTTCTGACTTCCACACTTTGTTCCACAGTGGTTCAGACATCACTGGTGAGAGGACACAGGCCTGGAAAGCAAAGAGAGGGTTGCCTGGCTGTCACAGCAGAGGCTTCACTGGTCTTGGAAGTGAGAGCAACTCTGAGGGAGTTGCCTACTAACTGGGTAGGACAGTTAGCTCCCAGGAAGGGACTTGTGGTGAGGCCTCAGTGGTGAGCACCCCAGCCCTTGTCCCAGGGGATCTCCTGCACCTTCCCAGGTGACTCATATAACCTACATCCCCTTTTCTGTTTTCCTATTACCCTATGTTGTCAGGAGCCTTTCCAGGGACTGATCCTGTCACACACTTTTCTCTGACTATACCTGGCTTAGACCTTGTGTGGACAAAGGGTTCTAAACCTCATGTCTGGATGGAAGGACAGTGTCAGCTCATGTCCACCAGTCTGTCTAGGACATGGAAGCAGCCAACAGTCATCACCTCCCAAGAACTGTTTCTGCTTCTGGAAGCTTAGCCAGTGGCTTACCTTATGATGCCCTCCTGCAAATAACAACAATCCATGTGCTCTCAGTGCAGCTCTACCCATCTCCCTTCTAGGTGAAGAAACCAGGGCACAGGGATTGCAGCTCATTCAGGGCCACATAGCTACTGAGTGTCATCAACTTCAGTAGTCTGGCTCTGGAGCCAGCACATGTCACCCCCAAATACACAAGCCCATACGTGATGAGGGACCAGGGTGGGCATCAGACCTAGGTTAACTCATGTCCATACAAGCCTCAGATGGGCCCTGTAGCAGGATGGTGGGGCAAACCCTCAAGTCTGGGCAGCAGCTCCTGGATCTGAGCTGGGAGTCTGCAGAGCCATGGGTTCAGGAGAACAGGTCTGTTTTTCTGACTCTCCCTGACTCATGGCCACGTGCATCCCTTCCTAGCTTGAGGAACGCTATCCTGAGTGGCCACCACACTCACAGAGTCACAGCTGGGAGCTTCTCCACCCCTCTGTGCTGTTCAGGGGTAAAGGAAGAGAGCCGGGGAGAAAGCCAAGCACCTGGACAGGGCTTGGCTGCAACCAGATAGACTTGCCTGATATCAGCAGGTTTTTTGGTTTTTTCTTTTTCTTTTTTTTTTCTACATGAGCTTTATCACATGCAAAATGGAACCAACCAGCAGCGGACCACATTTATTGAACATGTCCTGACATTTACTAAATCCTTATGTGGCAACATGTTTGGGTTTTTATAGAACAAGCATATACCAGCTTTGTCCTCATGTTCAGATAATTGGGGCTGAGACACAGAGAGGTTAAATGACTTCCCTGCTCTGTCATCTTTGGTACCTCTGCCCAGGTGGATGCTGAATAAATGAGGTACTGGAGTAAAGGAAAAGGCCCTTTCTGGGGTTGGGACAGAATGGAGCGTAACTATTTGCTGCCTGACCTTGGAAAATAAGACAGTTTATTGTTGGGGCTGGAGACATGGTTTAGTGATTAAGAGCACTGACTCCTCTTCCAGAGGATCTGAGTTCAATTCCCAGGACCCATATGGCTGCTCACAAATGTCTGTAATGCCAGTTCCAGGGGATTTGACACCCTCACACAGATACACATGTAAGCAAAATGCCAATACTTGTAAAATCAAAAATAGATCCTTAAAAAAGAAGTCAGCTCCATGATGCCTGAAGGTCATGTCCTCCACTTTCCACCACAGGTGTTTACACTGTCCTCTCTTGGGTCCCTTACATTTTCATGAGTCTTCTCTTGATGGGGGGTGTTTTATCTCTCTGGGCTAGGTGTGAGCTAGCCCCTCCTCTTTTTCCCATAATCGTTGCATGACTGAGGTACGTATTCTCCTATGCACCTCCTCCCCTTAGAGGATCCTGTGGCTTACCTCCAAGGCTTGCATTCCTACTGTCTAGCACTGACAGCTCTACCCATGTGTTCAGCCTCCCACCTCCTCAGAGACACCACTTTCCTCAGACACCCCCACCTCCCTGGTTCCCTGTCTGGGCCACCTCCCTGGTTCCCTGTCTCTCTGTGGCCATGTGGCTCATGAGTCCCTCCTTGTGCTCTGGGTTCTGCTGCAACTTGAAGGTCTCTGACCCGTTCCACATCACTGTGGTCCCTTCCTGAGCAGGGCAGTGTCTAGGCATCTTCACAACCCCCACATCAGCAGAGGAATGCACTACTGGGCTAGTGTGTCCTGAGTGGGCAGAATGGAGTGGAATGCAGCACTGTGGCCTAGCACAGCAGTGCTGTTGGAGACCCTGGAGGGGTGGGAGGCTCCCCAGGAAGTCCCTCTGGGTTCAAATGGTAGTGGCACCAAGCTGCAAACAAGCCTTGATCCTATGGAGGAAAGACAGGAGTAAGTATGTGGGCCAAGTCCTGGAACAAGAAGTCTCCTTTGGTGATGCTCACAGCAGCCCTGAGATGCGCTGATAATAGACCCCAGCCTCACATGTGAATGCATTGGGGATGTTAGTACTAAGGGGCCTTTGGTTTGCCTGTGTTTGTGTAGTGAGCAGATGGATGGGGCAAGGCAGGCCTGAGGCAGGCTTTGGGATTTCCACAGGTCTTGCCTTGCACTTCTGTGTTGTTAGGATCCTGTTTTTCAGGGCTTATGAGGGTTTTTGTGGTGTGCTGCCTTTCGCCACCAGAGTTTGGCTCCCTCCAGGTTAATGGACCTACCTCTCTTCTTCCCATAGGTGAACCTGGTGCTGGGGGACGGCCGGTCCCTGGGTCTCACGATCCGAGGTGGAGCTGAGTACGGCCTTGGCATCTACATCACTGGTGTGGACCCAGGCTCTGAAGCAGAAAGCAGTGGGCTCAAGGTGAGGGGACGATGGGCCTTGGGCTGCATGTGTGGGGATGTGGGTGGGGAAGATCTCTGTAGCTGGTTTACTTCAGGAAAGCAGGTGGTGACCCAGCTGAGGATGGGATCAGTTGAGGAGCCCCAGCTGACTGCTGGGTGTGTAGTGTACAGCTTTGAGCAGCAGCAGGGTGGCCTCCTACACTGCGCTAGGCAGTGGGCCAGCCCAGCTCTTTTGAGGCTGCTGTTTTGCAAACACTGTTGATGCCCTTGAAGGCCCTGACACCAGGACTTGTTATGACACATGCAGAGGGCAGGAGACAGGAAGCTATGAACCAGCTATGAACTGGACTGTGGCTATAAGAGGCAGCTTCAGGGCTAGCATCCAATCCCGACCAGCAGTTACTGAAATTGTAAAATTAATTAGCTCACCTTCTAAGCAGAGCTGTGTGCCCAGCACTTGAGAGTCATGTCACATGTATCACTTCACACTACCTGGTGGAGTGAGGTGGTGTCCAGGTTATTCCAGATGTAATGAGGTCCCACCAGCTGGTCTAAGGTGGGTCTCGAAACAAAGCTTGTGCCCAGTGAGTCTTGACTGAATCCCAAAGCCCAGGGTGTAATGTGCAGTGCTGAACCCCTTACTTGGGATAACTAGCAACTCATCAGAGAGCCAGAGACTCTGCATGCAAGGACACTGGCCCAGGACCCAGATCACTGTGATACATCATGACAGTACATGTTCGAAAAGTCATCGATGTTGGGCCCACAGTGATGTGGAGTGCTGATAGTGGGCCCAGGTGGCATTTGAGAGAGGTAGATGACAAAGCAAGCTGGGGAGAAAAGGGTTGCAGTGCCGAATGATTTCCTAGACTGGCTACAGGTGACTAAAGGAGTACCTACCCCAAGTTCAAGGCTGGGGACTCAGTCAGCAGGAGAGGTGTCTGCAACAGAGGGTCTGGAGTGTGCATGTGAATGTATGCATGTGTACATGCATGTATGCACACATACTTGTATCTTGGGATCCACAGGGTCCCATACCCCAGTACAGCAAACAGACTATCATAGGGAAGATGAGGCAAAATAGGCTTTTGGGAGATGTCGAGCATTTGGAAAGTGCTTTGGGCTCCAATGAGTAAAGACAGTGCCACGTCCCAGCTCCTCTCCATTCCTTCATGGCTGTGTGACCTTGGAGCTTCCTCCACCTGTCTGAGCCTCCCTGTCCCTGCTAAGGAACATGTTTGCCTCAGGGCTATTGAAAAGGTAAAAAGAAACAAACTAAGGACACAATTAGCTATTGTAGTTAAACATGGGTATAGACTGTGTGGCTCTCTTGAATTCACATTTTCAAATCCTCACCCTTCAGTGTTCGGGTCAGGAGTTGGGGCCCTCGGTAAGTAACTAGATCATGAGGGTGGAATCCTCATCTATGGTATCAGTGACCTGGCAAGAGGGTCCTCACCAGGCACAGAATCCACTGGCATTTTAATGTTGAGCTGTTCAGCCTCCAGAACTGTCAACAATAACCAGTGTGTAAGCCATCCTGTCTATGGGATTTTGTTGCAGCACCTGTCAACATTATATTATAGAGAGGGGATCACAAGGCTCCACCCCAGCCCTTGGGGAGGATTAATAGGCAGCTAATGTTTGCTGGGGGAGGCAGAGACATTTTCTTTAGTGATGCAACTACTGTCTAAATTGCACATGTAAATTAATCCTTATTCCTTAACCTGTAGGTGTAATGAAACCCATTGGGTCATACATACACACACACACACACACACACACACACACACACACACACGCACGCGCGCGCGCGGTGCTGGGGGACACTCTTTGACCTCCAGGAGTTATGTCCTATCGGGAAGACAGGGAACAAAGATACTCTGTTTATTTAGTTAGAAAGAAGGCAAAGGGGGTGCATTTTGTAAAACTTTACCATTGCCTGAGATTGCCAGGTGGTTGCAGGCACTCAGGGGTAATTTGCTTGCAAACTGCCCACCTTCAGTTAAGTCCCTCTATGCTGTCCTCAGCAGTGAGGCACTTGATGGTGGCTACACTTTCCTTTCCCCTCACAGCCCCTTGCCTGTGCTGACACCTGCCCACATTCACTTGGGCATCCAGCACTGATTAATTCTGTTTATTGCAGTGCACTTTCTGTGGAATTAGGCATATTGAAATGGAATAAAGGGCCTGCTTGTGTGGGTGGTGGAGCCAGAACAGGCTTTATTTGTAAATAGCACTCCGTGCTGCGGTGCAGCGCTTTCCTGGGGGAAAACACCGCCTTCCACGGGGCTTCCAGCTGCTCAGCCCACTTAGCTTCCAGGGCCCAGTGTGAGTCCAGAGAGGGGGCAGGACGCCCAGGCCCTGAGTGGAAAAACACTCGGGAGGTCAGCCAGACCCCCAGCATTTAATCCAGGGGTGGTCGGTGCAGATTGGAGCATGTCTACCTTCCCAGCAGGGACAGCCCCTCTCCACTTCACAGTTTATCTTTGGATTCCTCCTATTTCTTTGCACTGCTTTCCCATGCCCAGCCTATCTGCAATCCTTCCAAAGAATGGACCACTAAGCCTCTTTTGTTCCCTTAGGGACAGCCTATATTGAATGGCATTCAGAAGCAATCGTAATAACTGTTGCCATTCATTAACCAGTTATTATGAGTGAGACATGGTGCTAACATTTAGATACATCTGCTTGTATTTAATCCTTTCCATAGCCTTGTGGGATGGGGGTGGGGAGCCTTCACAGTACAATTTAACAGATGAACAACTGAGGCTCAGAGAAGTACAGTAACTTGCCCAGGCTCACACAAGGATCCCAGCACTGGCCCTTCTGGCCCTCTTAACTACATACTTGGTTCTACCAGTGCCCTATTGATGCTACCCCAAGTTGACCTCCATGGTCTCTGCTGAGTCTCTCCAGGCTGGGAGACCATTGCTTTCTTATCGTGGAGATCAGACTGCTGTCTTAGATGGGATCCCTGGAGCAGTACCTTTGCTCCTGGGGATGTCCCACTTGTGGGGTCACTGCTCTACAGTCTGTGACTTTAGAGTAGGTCTGTCATGCATCTGGAGAAGAAACAGTATCTCAGTGACAGGGATGGTGTGTGCTTTGCAGGTCTATCAGGGAACCTGGGCTGTGTGTCGCCTTCGTGGGGCTGGGCTGACCCTGCCACAGACTAGCTCTGCCCTCCTGGTGTCTCTGAATCAAGCTTCCTCAGAGCAACACCTCATGCTGGGGACCTACCAGGTGGCAGGAAACTTGCCTGCATCATCCACACAGATCTTCACACAGCTCTGCAAGAGCAGTGGAACCTTCGGTCCCATGCATGTCAGAAGCCCGTTGTCTGAAGTGTCCCAGCTCCCCAGCAGTGTGAGGTAGAGCCTAGGATGTACTTCTCCCTGATGGCCCTGCCCACAACAGAGCAGCCCCACATAGGGTGCTCAGGAAACAGCTCCTGGGTTGAAGGAAGGATTGTGGCAAGGGAAGAACCTGACCAAGCTCAGATCTTGAGCCCTGTCTCTCTTGTATCTCAGCTTGAACACAGCAGGGCTGGCATGTTGATGGAAGTGGTGTTGGTGGCTTATTAGTTCACTTTTATCATTGTTATGACAAAATACCTGGCAAAAGCAATTTATAACGTGGTTTATTTTGGCTCACAGTTTGGGGGTACAGTCAGTCCATCATAGCAACAGGAGTGTGAGGCAGGCAGTCACATTCCATCCACATGCAGGATGCAGACTGGGACTCTAGCCCATGGAATGACACTGCACACATTTAGTGTGAAGCTTCAATTAAACCTTTCTGGAAACACCCTTCTAGACACCCAGATGTATGTTTTGTGGGATTTTTAAGTCTAGTCAAATTGACAAGATTCATCAACCATCGTAGTAAACTTGCTGCCCACATGGATGCGGACTGCACAACCAGCCCTTGTTCCTCTGTGCCCAATCCTTTAGCACCACTGCCCACAGTGAGGCTGCTCATTGCTGGTGCCCTGGGAATGTTCCAGAGTCACTCTCTGGTTCCTCAGTAGAAGGCAAGTCCATGTTCACGTCTCAGCCTCCAACTTCACTCATTTACACCTGAGCTGAGAGAAGGCCAGAGGACGGGGGATGGCAAGCTATGAGAGTCCTGAGGTATGGACTCCCACAGGCCCCTCCCACCATCCCACCATTCAGCTGGGCCTTACAGGGGCGGCTCTGTCTTAAGCCCCCCCCCCCAGAGGAGGTTATCTTGCTGGGGTGGAGGAGCCTGGCAGACCCCATGGCTGCTCTCTCTTCCCTCTGGGTGAGAGAAGAGTATAATTATTATTCTATGGTGCTGTTAAATGAAGGTCCTTCATATGGGCTTTGTTTCACATGCTCCTTGGAACCCAAACTTGGCCAGATATTAAAAGAAAGAAGTAGCAGAGGGCATGGAGGTACCTTAGAAACACTGTTGATCATATGGTAATCATAATGAAAATAATGCACATACTGTCTTCAAATTTATATAACTCCTAATGGTTAAAGAAGAAAAAAAAAAAGACAAAACAACAAACCTCAGCTCAAAGAACATATGATGGATTCCTTGGCAGTGCTAAGGAATTTTAGCTGATTTTGTGGCAGTCATAATTAAGATGACAGAAACAATCATCTAATGTTTATATAATTCTTGGGAGTCTCAGAGCATTTTGCAAACAGTGCTTTCCCTTTCATTCCACAACTTAAGATGAATGAGCAGTTTCTTGAATGACGCAAACTGTTCACACATAGAAAAAGAAAGTTAGCTAATCTGTATACCCAAGCTGTGTGTCAAAGAAATTAAGTTTGTAGTTATAAACCATCCCCAAAAGAAAACACAAGCCCAGACACTTTCACAGATAAAGCTACCGAGAGGTTCAGAAGAAGTATCACGTAGTCTCTTTCTGAAAACGGATGAGGGTGTACTTCCCAGCTCATTTTATGAAGCCAGTATGATATACTACTATGACCAAGCAAACTGAGGATGGAGAAAGAAAATGACAGAGCATGATCCTTC